GAGGCCGCCATCTGTTTGCTACCTGGGGGTCAGTTAGCTGCAGGCGGACGTAGCCAGCTGTCTGTGTCTGCTGTCTGCCTGCTGTCTTAGGGTCAATCGGCTGCGCGTGGATGTGGCCAGCTGTATGTGTCTGCCAGCTGTCTGCTGTCTTAGGGCCAATCAGCTGTTCGCGGGCGTGGGGCCGCCAATTGCCTATGTCTGCCGGCTGTCTGCCGTTTGAGGGCAGTTACCTGCACGTGAGCGTGGCTAGCTCTCTATGTCTGCGGGCTGTCTGCTGTCCGAGGGTTAGTCAGCTGCACGTGGGCGCGCGGTGGCCGGGTGGGCGTGCCGGCGGAGCTGTGCGGAGTCCAAGGTCCGGCCCGTGCCCGTTTGTACCGGTCTGATCCGGAACTGACGCCCACCCTCTCCCCATCATCTTCTTTCCGAAGTCTTGGGCGCGTTCTGGCTACAGTTTATCTCGAAGAGTTATCCGCAACGTCGGGAAATTTTCGGAAGTAATGTTCGGCACTGCCAACACGGAGAAATATCGCAGATAATGATCCGTGCCGGGCAAAAACCCTAGGTAATTTTAAGAACATATTAAGGCGGGGATTATTTTTCAACATGTCTAGCTATGACCGCTGGCCATGTATAGTGCATGTGAGACAAAGCTAGTGGATCATTTTCGAACCTGCCGAACGTGAAAGGAAAATCTGCGTGGATGATTATCGGAGAGATTAGCATTCGTTGAACAATCTTCCCTCGGCCGCGCGCGCTTTTGGTGTCCTCGGGAAGATCCTCGTCGGTTTTCTGACAATCATTGGAGGCTGACCGCGTGTCGACCCGCATACTCAACAGAAACGCTTCGTTCAGGCTTTGTCAAAGAAGGTCACTTATGCCTCGCGATTTTTGGGGGCTACTAATTTATGAAGCATGGCCATCGGATGTTTTCCACGACTTCTGTACGCGAGAGTAACATGGCGGCCGTGCCCTCTGTGTCACACATTATGACATTGCTCTGAAAAGTTTTGGGAGTGGCAAACTGCATCTTTTGAATTATTGTGCATCGGGGATTCTTTTTTCGCCACGTCTGACTATGACCGGTTGGCTGTGTAAAGGTCTTCCTAATCAGGTAATGCCTAACATGTCATTATCAGATAATTGTGGGTGGTAACACCCCGGCAATATTTTATGCCGATTTACGTTTTGCTTGGCATGGTCTACAAAACCAAGCACCAGCAACGCACCAGCAACCAAAATGCCTTCAAAAACGAAACGTGGAGATGGTTTGAGACAGCATGCAGTCGTCACGCCTTGGAGTACTCAGGATTCTCGGTCGGAGGTCTGTGTGGCGATGGTTTGAGACATCATGCAGTCGTCACGCCTTGGAGTACTCAGGATTCTCGGTTAGAGGTCTGTGTCGGTGTCCGATCCGTGGCAGCGCAGCTGGTGGCCGAACTCCGCCCCGGTGGTCCGTCGCCAGGCGCCCCCGGCCTCGCCCCTTCCGGCTTTCCCGCTCGCCGCTCGTCGCCGCGCGGTCGGTATAGTGGCCGCCGTCCACTCGAGCCGTATCTGCAACGGCAGCCGATAGTGACCGGTGGGGCGATAGGAGCGGCCTGCGGCGGCAGCACGTCAGTGTCCGCCGCGCCGCGCCACGATGGCCTCCTCCGCGTCGGCACCGGTGGCCGTGCCGGGCCGCCGGACACGCACCACCTCCGAGGCGTCGCGCGAGGGCGGCACGCCGCGCTCCCGGCTACGCACCATCTCCGAACACCAGGTGGACGACGAGCCCGTGGAGCTGGAGCCGTTCCTGGCCGAGCACCGCAGTCCTGCCGTAGGTAGCCGGTTACGCTGCCCTCTGTAGGCAGCCCGGCCACGCTGCCCTCTGTAGGTAGCCCGGTCACGCTGTTCCGCCGTAGGTAGCCCGGCCACGCTGTCCTCTGTAGGTAGCCGGGTCACGCTGTCCCGCCGTAGGTAGCCCGGCCACGCTGTCCTCTGTAGGTAGCCCGGCCACGCTCTTCCGCCGTAGGTAGCCCGGCCACGCTGTCCCGCCGTAGGTAGCCCGGCCACGCTGCCCTCTGTAGGTAGCCCGGCCACGCTCTTCCGCCGTAGGTAGCCCGGCCACGCTGCCCTCTGTAGGTAGCCCGGCCACGCTGTTCCGCCGTAGGTAGCTCGGTCACGCTGCCCTCTGTAGGTAGCCCGATTACGCCGTTCCCATGGGTAGCTGGGCTGCACCGTCATCCATGTGTAGCGCGGCTATGCTGTCCACCATGGGTAGCCGGACCACGCTGCCCCTAAAGGTTGCGGGGTCTTGCTGTCCTCCATGGATGGTGGTGTTATACTGTCCTCCGTGGGTAGCCGGGTCGCGCTCTCCTCCGTAGGCAGCCGGGTCACATTATCCTCTGTAAGTATCCGGGTCACAGGCAAGAAAGGTGCGAAAAACGGCACATACTCCCATAAGATGTATGGCATATTTGACACGTGAGCTCCAGCCCTCAACATTATGTATTGGCGATTGACAGTCAAGGCAGCGAGCAGCGGCCACAGCATGCGTGACAATTTGCAGTCATGATTGTTGTTCTATAGTTAGGTGGTCATAATAAGTGAGGATATTTTCTTGACATGCTGTTCATGTTCTGTGTTTTGTCATTGGCTTGAGTTCCTGGCCGATGTTGGCGGCAGATGGAGGATACAAAAGCTCAAGCCACATTTCCGACGATGTTTTGGACCTAGAGTTAGCTGGAGATCGTTTCATTCTTACTATTGAACGGTGTGAAATGGATGAGAAGCGTCAATGTAAAGCCATAATGTAATAATCACAATTTAATGGCAATGAGCCGTCAATGTAATACAAATACCGACAGCAGCTACCCGTTTGATGATGCCGATGATGATATCACGTTTAATGTGACAAGGTATATAGGTAGGGGGCTAGGTGTTTGCCGGCCTACCTACCTAAGTAGGTAAGATGCTATCAACTATCATCGTTAAATCCGGAAGGCAGCAGTGTTCCTCATCTCAGAACCGGTGTTTTCACCTGACCACGATTCATATATGGTTTTTTGATGAGTATTAGTATAAGTAATAATCAAGAGTGAAATTAACAGTCCCACATAGCTCATAACGATATGTGCCTAGGGCGGGCCTAGAATTTCACTAAGTTAAGGCTTCTGAACTTTTGAGGTCACATTATGGAATGAAACACGACAATATTTCATGAGGAGTCCTACCTGGACTGTGCTTTGTTCTGGAATTTTCGTATCACGTGAGCTCGTATGTTGAACAATGGCTTAGCTAGGGCTCGTTCGTAATTTACCTTTTGCATTTTGGCTATTGTGTAACTATGCCCTCCGGTTACGCACTGGTCAGAAAGAACGGCCCCTCACCGCTGGTGACGCTGTGTTTAGCTTAGTACCCTAAAGGGAAACATCCGTTTGTTCAGGCTTTGTTTTTTCAAAATATTTCTGAACGATTATAACGTGATTGTCAACGACATCCGACTCTAATACGGTGCGTTGTCGAACCCTCCAATCCAGCGCCCATTACCATTGGTAGCTACGGTTACACCCAATCAAAAGAACCCTGCCCGTTTATGCGTAACCCAGTGTATGGGCGACCCGCAGTTATCGTTGAGTAGAATCGGGATATCGTGCAGCGGAGCATAACATTTCTTTAAAGACACCCCTGCCTGAAGTAGCATTATGGTGAAGTCGATGACGTTTTGGAGCACTTGTTAACGGAATAGGACGATGTTTTTGATGTTTTAGTTCGCGATTACTGAGGTTGCCCCAGGCATAATTTCCGAATTATTCCCGATTTTAATGAAGTATGCTTTGACGTTCAGTGTCTTCAATATTTTTCCTATATGTAAGCCACTGCAAGTCAGCACTAAAGCGAGTCTACGACTTCCGATCAAACCAAGAACTACCGATTTTCCGATGGATGCCGTTGGTGAGTTGACTTGTGTACGCCTCGCAAGTAACCACTTTGTGAATTCGGTGACTCTTGGTTCGTGAACTCGCTTTATGATACTATGTCCTGGCCATCTCGCGATCTGCGGCGTGGTTGACTGCATGCTGCTAGTCAATGTCGAGTGAACTCCAAACGGAAAGGGCTGAACAACTTGCCAAAGCCTCATTTTAGTCGTTTAAATATGTTGAACAAGCGTCCTATCCTTACAACCCATGAGAAACCATGACACGTGTGCCACTTGTCTCGCGTGACAGCCTCGGCTCTATTAGTGGGCTTTCAGATGGAATGATGCGATAGAAACCTTTCATCTTATGTTAGGATGCCGGCCAAGCCGCTAGATACGGTGGCCTTTCGGCTTGACGCGGCGCTAGATTGGAGCAGAGCGAAGGCTCCGGTGCCGCACAGCGCCTGAAATAGAACCGTCGCCGGGTTTAGCACGGCCGTGTCGGCGGCAGGATCGCCCCGGCCGACCCGGCCGCCCCTCTGACGGCTGAGTGTAAGCGCGAGTCATCCGTCCCCGAGCGCTTCCGCCGTGGAAGCCGCCAGCCGTGCCGTGCGAGGCGTGCGGGGCTCGGCCGGGCGCCGGCGCGTGCCGTGCGACCGAGCGTTGCCGGGCGCGGCCCGCCCGCCGCCGTGTCACCGGCGACCGTCGGGGCGCGTGCCGACGGCGGCGCCGGAGGTCACCGCCGCAGGCCACCGGCGGTGCACCATCCGCTGGCGGCGCCGCTGACAGTCGTCCGGCCGGGAAGTCCGGTGCTACAGACGGCCGCAGGAGCATAGCGCGCGCGCCACTTAACGCTGTCGTCTTTGGTTACGTTGTGGCTTTTGCTGGAGCTTTGTCGTCCGCTCTGCTGTCTTGCTGCGGTTGCCGTCTTGTTTCATCCGGCGGGGCTGTTTTCCCGTTCTTTTATTTTAGTCGCGTGTTCATGCTGTGCTGTTTTACGCCCTTGCTTTAAGCTGTATCTTTCATTTGCCAGTGTTCTGAGCCGCGGTGAGAGGTGCCACTTGTCTCTGTTTCGCCCGTTCTGAGGCTCGCCTTCTTTCTGCAGGGCGAGAAAGGCATCGTGATCGGCATTCGCCACGATGAGAACTCCAACCCGTCGTCGCCGTCCTCGCCGATGGCGCCGCCCGGCGTCAGACAAGGTGGGGACCGAGCGGGCGTCGGCTCCGGGCAGCGAGCCCACGCCAGTGCCGCTTCTCGGGCGGGGGCCGCCTGCGCTGATGGGAAATCCGCGTGGCGTAAGCTTCATTCTGGGTGCTGTGAAAACTATGTGAGACGAAATGATGTAGCGTAGGTGTTCCGGAGGTCGATTGTATGATCTTGCTTATGGAGCTTATTGCAGGAACGTCGCTTTAGCGCCGTAACGTTGCATTCGGCTGAGATGTAGGCCCTCCATTATGCCGCGGACCAGTGGAAATCTGTACAGCCGGGCTGTGGGAGGAGGGCGGGGGCGGGCGATGGTTTCAGCAGCCCAGGCCGGCTCGTTATCGAGAGATACTGCCGACCGGAACACGGCTGGGCTGGAGACCATCAGTTCAGGCCCTTGGGAATGATCGGATGTGGAGCGTACCCACCGTTCTCAGGATAGAACGACACCCTTTCGACGCCATGCATGGTGGCCTTTTCGTTATCTTTGTGGAACCGGCATGCGTGCAATTTTCGACCCGAAGTATTCAACTGTAATCTGTCTTCGTGGCGTCGCTGATCGGTGCCGCTGTAGAGAACTCGCGCTCACGTGAGGCTCCACTGAGCGCGGATGCTGGGGGTCGCGCGCCGGCGCGCCGGCTGCCGCCCGTCCCCGCCGACCGCGGCGCCGGCCGCGGCGGCGTCCGTGTACACCCGATGACGGTCAGTGGTGTACACTGTACAGGCGCCGCGTGTCTGCCGGCACTCTCGGCCGGCGACTGCGGCCATTGTTGGCTTTAGCCGGCTGTTTTGCTGGCCGAGATGAATGAGACATCTGGGGCGGCGTAAACGGTGTCCGGCCGACAGGGACCAGGCCGCGGCGCCTGACACTGCGCGGCCCACGGGTGGGACGGCGCTGCAACAATGAACACTTAGCCACGAGCTGCCAAACAGCGGGCCGCGTTAACTGCGTGTCGTTGACGGCCGTGTCGGCACCTGTGTGGAGAGCGTTGGAGCTGACGACGGCTGGGAGGACCGCAGCGTTCGCCGGCCCTGTCTGGCCGCCCCGGCGAAGACGCTACCGGCGCGGTCAGCCCGTCGACAGGGCACGCGTGGACGGCGGACGGCGGCGGGCTCGCTCATGGGCGCTCGTGCCGCATGCTGGAACGTGCCGGTGGCAGTACACAACGGCATTGACACGGTCACTCGAGGTCAGGATATTATGTTGTAGGGCTACTCTCCGATGGTGTATTAATTCTCTGTTTGTTTGTTTGCCACTATGGCTGTCGGACCATACTCTCTTGATGTTTGATGACTTCATAGCATCACGGTTGCGGGGCAGTTTTCTTCAAAAGGATGCGCCTTCTTTGGACTTACGCCTGAAAGCTGCCTAAAACAAACCAGTGGGATTCAGACTTAGCTTGTTATGGCACCTCGGTTTTGGCTGGCCGGCACCGCGTAAAGGCGTTCACCGCGAGCGAATGGAGTTTGTCTCACTCGGCCCGAACTGCATATCTCCGAAGACAAGAGCATTTTCGTCCGAAAAATTTACGCGCTAATCGATGCGCCAACACACTGAAGCTCTTGTATGTAAATGCGGCGTCGCAGATCATCGGAAATATGTAAACAGTGATTCATGTTAACGAGTGTGAGGGTACGCTCTGGTGAGTTGGCTCTACTCAAAGGAGCTTGCAAAAGGCCCGACATGACAGCATGCGTCTGTCTGCGGGACACAAGCGGAAGAAAGCTTACCTGGTTTTGAGATGAACGTTAGGTCATGATCATTTTTCACTGAGTTAGAGATCAAAATAAACCGATCACGTTACTCCTGGTTAGCGCGGGCCAGATTTTGAACGTGGGTATCAATCGTAGATTACTTATGATGGTTTAATGACCCCGTGTCACCGTCCAGTTGGATTACAACGTGTTGGAATATTCAAACAACCACGCACGAGCGCGGGACGGTGGACGTCACAAGTTGGCAGGGTATGCCGCATGTTTGTAAACGATGTCGGCCACGAAGTAAAAATCGTACATTTGATCGATGAGAGGGCAAACAGCTGCGAGTGGTGTGAGCTAAGGCCAGAAATGCGCGAACATCCTTCTGTCTTTACCCACCATCGACGTTGATTAATTTGCATGCCTTTTCGAGTGGGGTTGTGACGAAATGAACCGTTGGTTAGATGTCGACAACAATTGGAGAGTGGGACACAATTGGCCTCACCGCAGGCTTAGTTGCAATAATGCTGATCTGTGGGGCGTGATGTTTTGCACCGCTTCGGAGAGGCATGTCTGCTTCCCCTCCTCCCCGATATTTGCCTTTAATATTTGTCCAAAATTTGCAGCAGTTCTCAACAAGACAGCCTATGTGTTGTTCTATGCATGCGCACAGGGATGTACATGTTTCATACAGAGTCATGACGAGTACAACATGAACGCTTTTTCTGATCAAGGATCAAGTGTGGATACGACAGCATTGTAATGGCTGCAGGGACCTCAGTGGACGTAGGGTCCGGCTGTCCTTTTTCAAAGTCTTTCTTTTCCCGTTCTGCACTCCCATTCTTCAGTCATTCTCACAAAGCACGAAGTCTTAGCCACGGAAAGTGGTGGCGCCTCTCCATGGAAGAAGAACATTGCTCGAAATTGCTCATTGTTGGCGGAGAGAACTACTTTACATGGGACAGCGAGATAGAGTTCACAGAAAAAGCGACAAGATGCTCGTACCGCTCCGTCTCCGCTGCACAGTGTGCGGAGATCTTGTGGCGGTGTGACACCGGGACGGGTTGAGGTCAAAAGGTCAGACATTAGGATCGAATGGCCCTTGATGTGACCTTTGAAAGACCTTTGATGTGGTCTTGGTAAAAACTGCCCAGCTAGCAGTCAAGTTCAGAGCGACAAGCTACACTGCAGACGCAGTTTCTTCTAGATCCCAGATAACAGGGCATTGGTTTTCCTTTACAGCCGTCAAATTGGCTGTGAAATATATGCAACGTACAGACTGCTGGGTTCGAAGTGGACATTGTCAAAAGTAGATTCTGAGTGAAGTCAGTACCGCGTATAATACACCTGTGTATTATACGCGGCACTGTACCGCGTATAATATAATGCACGTGCCAGATGACCTGTAACCCGCACCGAGCAGGTGTTTTACTTACATTTGTCAAACGATGAGGCCCGACGGATCCCCTTCTTGTCTGGAAACCAAACGCGCTGGAGCCTAGCGAAAAACGTCATAAGGTCGGCTACTCAAAAGTGTGCGAAATATTTCTGTCAGTGGGAGTGGATTTTGAAGAGTCAGACTAGCCCATCGAGGAGGCATTACAGAATTAAGACATAGCAATGACTTCATAATTATGTCCTGTAGTGGACAGCGTAAACACATTACAACCTCTGAGGTTTTGTCTGCTTTCGTGCCTTTTGTATATGGGTTAGACACCTGAAGGGCATAACGTTCCAAACGTTCCTGTGGTCCGGACCCGCCAACCTCAGTGGTCATCACGCCAATGGTCCGGACCCGCCGACCTCAGTGGTCATCACGCCCACGGTCCGGACCCGCCGACCTCAGTGGTCATCACGCCGATGGTCCGGATCCGCTGACCTCAGTGGTCATCACGCCGATGGTCCGGACCCGCCGACCTCAGTGGTCATCACGCCGATGGTCCGGACCCGCCGACCTCAGTGGTCATCACGCCCACGGTCCGGACCCGCCGACCTCAGTGGTCATCACGCCGATCGTCCGGACCCGCCGACCTCAGTGGTCATCACGCCCATGGTCCGGATCCGCCGACCTCAGCGGTCATCACGCCCATGGTCCGGACCCGCCGACCTCAGTGGTCATCACGCCGATGGTCCGGACCCGCCGACCTCAGTGGTCATCACGCCCACGGTCGTGGCAGCGAGGAGAGCGGTGGCTGCATCGCTCTTGGCACGCTGAATGGTATGCGTATAGTGGCCGGTTTGTGGGTGCGACGAGCTACTCTCGTTATGCTAGGGCGGCATCAAAATGTGCTACGTTAGGATCCATAAAACAATTACAGGAAGTCCTTCCGAATGCATATTTTACGGATGGCGTGCGCCATCCACCCGCCCGACCGCGAAAGCAATCCACTTCACCTGCACAGAAGTCATCACTTCACTTGTGATCTATGAGTAGCGGGGACTTAGAGTTGTGACAAAAAGTGTGATAAAGCTTGAAACATGGATAAGACAGTAGTATTAGCCTTTTCCTCGGAAAAAACAGGAGAAGTGAGATATAGTTAGGTTGATATTTCGGCAACATGCCTCTATCGAAACAATAGCAGAAGTGAAGACTTTTGCCACAGGAGTAGCATGAATAGCAGAGGTGAACACTTCTGCTATTGTTTCGATAAAGGCATGTTGCCGAAATTTCAACGTAACTACATATCCATTTTCCTGTTTCTTTTTCCGAGGAATAAGGCTAATACTACCGTCTTATCTATATGAATAATGTTCCTCGCTAATACACTGATGAACTTACGTAATTTAGTGCTTGAAACCATGTTACTGAACATTTCAGCACCATGCCTTTGATGCTTTAAGAGCTATTCCTGAGAAACCTGGGCAGACTCAGAGCCCCTGGCCACCGTTCGGTGAGGGCTCAAACATGTCGAAGCGTTCCACCCTTTAGTTCTCCGTGAAATAGCTCATATAGGCGTCTATATTGCTGCGGGTGATCCAAGGGGGAAATTAGGTAGTTTCTTGCTTTGTTGTTTGATGTCAAAATGCGTTCCTATGTGCTTAAGGGAGGGGGAGGGCAACTGCCATGTACGGCCATAGTGGTATAGCGCTTTTCTTAAGGTCGGAGGTCCGTTATGTAGCTCCCTCACACGTCAACAGGGCCGGCGCGACGCCTCGCATGGGCGTTTATGACGCCAATTGCTCACGTAGCATGGCAAGCGCGGTCAACCGGCCTAACGAGATACACTGCCGACGGCCAATAAGCCAGCCCTGGTCTTGATCCCTCCCATGGGTGTTCGCCAGACGCCGTCACGCAGCCAAGAAACAGGACAGTGTTAATGAGAGGCTGGCGACATCGCGATGTGCTCTGTAGCACCGCAGTGCCGCGGTTTCCGGCCGGTGGAGCGCCTGCTGGTCCCGGGAGCCCGGCCCGGGCAGGACCGGTGAAGGGCTTGCTGGTCCCGGATGCTCGGCCTGGGCAAGACCGGTGGAGCGCCTGCTGGTCCCGGAATCCCGCCCTGGTCCTGCCGGGGCCGGGCGTCCGGCTGTCCCGTGGCCTCGCTCGGGTCCAGCGCAGCCGTCTGGCGGGCAGGCGGACCGCTGTGCGAGCTTCCCCGGCTGCAGGCAGCAGCGGTCCGGCGTCGGGGCCGCCCCGCTTGTTCGGCGTCAGCTGTTCGCTGGCGGCGCTATCGATTGCGCGTGGAAGCAGCCTAAGGCGGAGCGGCGCTATGGGAGCGGACCAGCCGACAAAGGCTCCGGGCTTGCCGCTAAGGCGAAGCGGCGCTAACAGAGCAGACCAGCCGACAAAGGCTCCAGGCCTGCCGGCTGGGCCTCGGTCCAAGCATGGTTGTTTGGATTTCTTCTTTCTTGGACAGGTTTTGCTTGGTTCATTTGCCTTTCATTCCTCATTCGCACCTCATGCTGAACCTCTGCAACATCCATCTCCCGACACGCTGCATGCATCAGCCGCGAACAGGTTTACGGCCCCCGCCCCCTCATGGTGGGGGTCCTGCCCGGACTCCCGCGGAAACCCGGAAGGGGTTCCTGCGCCGAGCGGTGTCGGTAGCAGGGAGCTGCCAGACGTATGTAGTTTGGTCTCACCACTCCCCACTTTCCTTCATCTAATAACCACACAAGGCTCATTGCCGGCTGAAAGTGCTTTTGCTTAAAATCGAGCTCAAGAAAAGCTGTACTTTTCTTTAGAAGGTTATGCCATGTTACGAACGAACCTGGCTTAAATGCCAGGAGCCCTGTAGCATACATCAAGCACACTATCATGGCTAAGGCGAAATATGATGGGCACCAAATGCTGTGAAACGAGGCGTCAAATAAGCGATGAGTGTCTCATAGCAAGGCGAAACTTATGTTGTTATATGCAGCTTGATGCACTCACAGATGACCCACCACCCTCAAACGGAAATGTGCCCGAAAGGGTTCTTTATGTCTGGTTCCCTGGGCAGATAGGAGAATCGCGTCTTGGTACATTGCTTCCGTTAAGTAGAAAAATAATCCCGAATGTTGAGCGTGTGTCACCGATGATGACAAGTAGCCATTGAAGTCCGTTACATCTTGCTTGTTACCTGTTACGGCCTGTTACGGCTATTGACTTGCCGTGAACGACACCTGTGTCTCCAGATGTCGTCTGGGTCTCTCATTCCGGATAACATGTTGTTACGTAGTTTAAAAAGACGCTTTGTGGCTCCGGTACGGTATGTTGGAGACGCCGTCGTCTCGCCCCGCCTGGGGCGCGGCACTCGTGTGTGCTCCGCTGTACGTGCCTGCCAGTCGCGCCGTTCGGAGGCGCCCGTAGCGCCGGGTCAGCCGGCGTCTCCTCTACTCGGGGACTTGCGGCGGCACTGTGCCCTCTGCTTTACACACACACACACACACACACGCACGCACGCACGCACGCACGCACGCACGCACGCACGCACGCACGCACGCACGCACAAACACACACACACAGGAGTGCGCGCGGCCGTGCGGTCCTCTCCTGGGCAGCCAGGCGTCCCGTGCGTCAGTACCCCCGCCCCCCTGACCTGTGCCCTCCTTCGTGGGCCGCAGGGGACAGTATCGCAGACGTGCACGTGGGCGAGCTGGACTTCACGGAAGTGCCGACCCCGCCGGACGGAGGCTACGGCTGGGTCATCGTCTTCGCCTCCTTCCTCTGCAACATGATCGTGGACGGCATCGCTTACAGCTTCGGTATCTTCATGCCGGCCTTCGTGGAGTACTTCGGCGAGGGTGTCGGCAAGGTGGCCTGGGTGGGCAGTCTGCTGAACGGCGTCTACCTCAGCGCTGGTGAGAGCGGGCAGGGCGATACCGCTCCGGTGGCTCTGGAGGAGTGTGAATCGTGTGCTCCGGTTTGCGGTCGTTTCAAATGTGTGTTCAGCAGGTGTTGATAGGTCGTGCGGCTGCGCAAAGTTATAACCAGTCTGTATATGGCTCAATATAAGTGTAATTGTTTGTCAAATACTTTGATCATAAGCACAGCGAGACTCCGCACCGTCTACTATCCCAATCGTTAGCTGGCTGAATGAAAGAGAGTGTGATCTCGATTATTTCAACCGAGATGTTCGATTTTCAGTGCTTTGATAAACGTGTACGGCTGTCGGCCAGTGACCAGGAGTCCGTGTACCGACAGGTCCGATCGTCAGCGGACTGACGAACGTGTACGGCTGTCGGCGGGTGACCAGGAGTCCTTGTACCGACAGGTCCGATCGTCAGTGGGCTGACGAACGTGTACGGCTGTCGGCCGGTGACCAGGAGTCCGTGTACCGACAGGTCCGATCGTCAGTGGGCTGACGAACGTGTACGGCTGTCGGCCAGTGACCAGGAGTCCGTGTACCGACAGGTCCGATCGTCAGTGGGCTGACGAACGTGTACGGCTGTCGGCCAGTGACCAGGAGTCCGTGTACCGACAGGTCCGATCGTCAGTGGGCTGACGAACGTGTACGGCTGTCGGCCGGTGACCAGGAGTCCTTGTACCGACAGGTCCGATCGTCAGTGGGCTGACGAACGTGTACGGCTGTCGGCGGGTGACCAGGAGTCCTTGTACCGACAGGTCCGATCGTCAGTGGGCTGACGAACGTGTACGGCTGTCGGCGGTGACCAGGAGTCCTTGTACCGACAGGTCCGATCGTCAGTGGGCTGACGAACGTGTACGGCTGTCGGCCAGTGACCAGGAGTCCGTGTACCGACAGGTCCGATCGTCAGTGGGCTGACGAACGTGTACGGCTGTCGGCGGGTGACCAGGAGTCCTTGTACCGACAGGTCCGATCGTCAGTGGGCTGACGAACGTGTACGGCTGTCGGCCCGGGGACCAGAGTCCTTGTACCGACAGGTCCGATCGTCAGTGGGCTGACGAACGTGTACGGCTGTCGGCGGGTGACCAGGAGTCCTTGTACCGACAGGTCCGATCGTCAGTGGGCTGACGAACGTGTACGGCTGTCGGCCGGTGACCAGGAGTCCTTGTACCGACAGGTCCGATCGTCAGTGGGCTGACGAACGTGTACGGCTGTCGGCGGGTGACCGGAAGCCCGTGTACCGACAGGTCCGATCGTCAGCGGGCTGACAAACGTGTACGGCTGTCGGCGGGTGGCCAGAAGCCCGTGTACCGACAGGTCCGATCGTCAGCGGGCTGACGAACGTGTACGGCTGTCGGCCGGTGACCAGGAGTCCGTGTACCGACAGGTCCGATCGTCAGCGGACTGACGAACGTGTACGGCTGTCGGCCGGTGACCATCGCCGGCGGCATCATGGCCGGCACGGCGTTCCTCATCTCGACCACGGTCAGCAGCGTCTCCTGGCTGATGCTGGTGTACGGAGTCATCGGAGGTAGGTGACGGACGAGCGCGGTGGGCTGGACGGCTTCTTCAGCCGGCCCTGGTGGCCGGTGTGGTATCTGCTGGTGTGGCTCACAGCTGGGATGACTCGTTGGCTATCAGCAGGGCTGTTGCAAGCTCGGTGGTAGTCTAACCGCGTTTGCGTGAGTTTGATGAGTAAATCAGAATCGTTCCGGGTTTTGCCTGTGATGTTGACAAAAACGGCTTAAAGGCCTCGGCTGTGTCAGCATGGTGGCATCGTGATACATTTATTGGTCAGATGAAGGCCGTGAATGTGTCCCTAAGTTACACACGTGTAAATAATGTGTATTGGGTGCCATCTCCATCACAGCGAAACTGGTCCTTACGCGCTTCCGGTCACCTGCCCATCTTGTCCTATTCATCCAGGACGTGACTTGCCCCCTCCCCCACCCCTACCCTCCTGCTCTTCCTCCCTGTCCCTGTCTCCGCCCTTTCTTTCCCGATCTAGAAACGTTCGTTGTCTCCATCTCTGACCTCGGCCTCGCTCTCTGTCTCGCCTTCTTTTTGTATCTCTCTGTCTTCGATTGGTCGCACATTCGCCCCATTCCACTGCACCGACACGTGGAGCTCAGTTCTTCACCTCGGCCGCCCGGGCGTCAACTGCACTCTTCACTGTTCAGCTGGCGGCTTTGTTTGCACCCCCCTGCCCCTCCCGTCCCGCCGCCGCCCGTGCCGTCAATATCTGGCGGGTGGTGAGCCGCGCCCCGCCGCGCCAGTCAGGCGGCGGCCGCGGCGGCCGAGGCCGTGGCCGGCCCGCCGGGCGGGTGACGAGCTGTGCCGCAGCTGGCGCGGCCACACTGACACCATCCCGCTGTAATTACTGCTGCGGACCTGCACGCCGCACAGCGGCAGCGCCGGGGCTGGGTCCCGGCCACTCACCTGTGGGTCCCCGCTCTGGGATCTGGGTCCTCCATCAGTCGGATCTGGGTCCTCCGTCAGTGGGGTCTGGTTCCTCCGTCAGGGGGATGTGGTCTCCCGTCAGTGGGAGGTGGGCTCCCCGGTCAGTTGGACATGGATCCCTGGTCAGCGGGATGTGATTCCCGTCAGTGGTATGCGAGTCTCCTCAGTGGGATGGAGGTCCCATCAGTTGGATATGGGGTCCCGTCAGTTGGCTTGTGGGTCCCCGTCAGTGGAATGTGGTCCTCTGTCAGATTAAAGTGTATCCCCCGTCAGTGGGATGTTCTCCTCCGCCAATGGGATGTGGGTCCCCACCACTAGGATGTAGGCTCCGCGTCAGTGGGATGTTTGTCCTCCGTCGGTGGGATGTGGGTCCCCTGCCAGCGGGATGTGGACCACCATCATAAGGACGGGAGTCCCCCGCCAGTGGGATGTGGGTCCCCACCGGTAGCATGTGGGCCCCCCGTTAGCGAGATGTCCCGTTTCAGTTGGATGTGGGTCCCCGTCAGTGGGATGTTGTCCTCCGTCAGTAGGATGTGTCCTCGTTCAGTGGGATATGGGTCTCCGGCCAGTGGGATGTGGATCCCGTCAGCGGAATGGGAGTCTCTCGCCAGTGGGATGTTTGGTCCCCTGTCAGTGGGATGTTTTCCTCTGCCAGTGGGATGCCGGTCCCCCGTTAGCGGGATGTGGGTCCCCGTCAGCGGGATGTTGTCCTCCGCCAGTGGGATTGGGTCCCTCGTCAGTGCGATGTTTTCCTCTGCCAGTGGATGTCGTTCCCCCCGTCAGCGGGGGGGGGTCCCGTCAGTGGGTATGTGCGTCCCCGGCGGCGGACGGGGTGTGGCTCGCTCAGTCGCCGGGATGCGGCCGGATCGCCCTGTTGACGGGCGCCGTGTTTTTGGCAGTGTGTGGGCGCGATGTGATTGGTGCTCAGGATGTAGCCAATCGTTGGGTCGCGGTCGCCCCGCCGACGGCCGGCCTCGCGCGGGGTTACGCATTCAGGCTGCTCAGCCGCGCGGGGGGCTGTTATCACTATGCTGTTCACTGGTGCCTTCGTGATAACGCTAACCGTGCATTTCTGTCCGTCACTTAGGTTGGGTTTGAAGTTTCCTTACTTGGGATATGGTTGATAGCAAGCTGACAGGGATTTCGCTTCTTACATCTTGCGATTTCGGGCTCGCGGGAATGTTTGTAATGATGGTATCTTGTCCCCCAAAGTGGCGCCGGCTGTGCAGTTTGCCCTGTGCTGTACGCGGATGAACCTGCTTAATTTACACATGGTGTCGTAGGCTACCGTTTGCCATTCTACTGTAGACTACCCAGGGCATCAGCATCAGCATGGAGTAGCTCTTCGGCACCGTGAAGCACTTGTCGGTCGGTGCCGTCACAGGGTTTGCACTTGTTGAATCATCCAGGTACTCTCCACCTTGTCGATGAAGAATGATAGGAACGTTAGGGGGTTGTCTCGTTGCTGGCACGATGGCTGAATCTTTGTTGTTTTTCGCTTGTTTTTGTTCGAGTGGTGTAAACACGCTAGCCTGACTTGGAAGCTCCCTGTTTTAAGCTGATGACCTATGCCTGAGCCTCCGCGTGGTGTGGCTTCCGGCGGTCGTCAGTGGAAATCCTGGCTAACGGCCGCCCGCCCCGATGTCCCGAGGTCGCTCTCGAGCGCCTCGGGGCCCAGGCGCGGTCCGGGACGTGTCAGCACCGTCCCCACCTGGTCACTGACCTCGGGTTCCAGTTGAGGCCGGGCGAAGCCCCCTTCCCCGCCCATCCACCCTCCCCGTGGGCAGAGGAGCACCGGGCCGACAGCGCCCTTTGTGCCGGCGCCGCCAGGCGGCTGTGACTTTGTCCGCGGCTCGCGAAGCGCACGGTGCTGGTGGTGCGGGCCGGTGAGATACGCGCCTCCGGCGGGGGGGGGGGGCGGTGCAGGGGGGGGGACTGGGACAGCCGAAGGTCAAGGCCGGCCGCTTTATCGATCGGCACCCTTCCGTCCGGGCCGCTCGACTAGCTGCCCCTCCAAAGATAGTTGCCTATGATTGATATGGACGGACGTCCCGGCGCGCCGCCGGCCGCTGCCATCGCCGACGGTCGCGGCCGCGGGTGTTGTGGTGATGCGTGGCGGGGGGTGGGGGGTGTGTCGCCTGCAGCCGCCCGGCCAACGGTCCTCCCACACAGGGCTCCCACCGGTCCCTCCCACCGGGGCCTGGGGTGATCGGCCGCGCGCTGACCGGTGCCCGGGGACGGGCAGCGGCAGGTCGGGAGGTCTGGCGCAGAATGCCGCTGGGTCGGCGGGATGAGATCGGACGGTGGACGAGGATGGCGCCGCGGGCAGCGTGACGCTCCCGGCGGCGTCGACTGGGGTTTAATCACTACGGCAAACAACGCAGTGTTTCTTGTGCAGTCAGCCACAGAAAGGGGATCACTTCACATGCTGCAGTTTTGTTGTCGCGAAGCAACAAAAAGCCTGTAACCTAGCGCCATAAATCATTATATATATATATATATATATATATATATATATATATATATGATACACTTGTTGTTTTTCTCCTCACTGTCTACAGAACGAGTAAGTTGAGGGGGATCAGGATTCGATGGATTTGACCCACGTGCCCGCCAGTCTTGACTTTACTGCGGCGCGTGAGGAATTCCAGTCATTGTGCTGATAGTTGACCGTCGCGTTAAACTGAGACCTCGTAACGTGACGTTGATGAGTCGCCTCTCCACCCACCGTTGTAATGGCTCAGAGTGATGTCTGTGGCCTAACGTTATGTACACCTCCCTGCTTATTTTATGTTGCCCTAGAGACGTTCGCCAAGCGAAACCAGTGACAAGATATTGCAATAGCATATTTAGATCGGTACCCATCTACGTGCAGTATGGTATCATTTTCGCGATCATGATCTCGATACGAGACAAAGCGTCCACAAATAGCATGCATACTTATCCGTGTCCAAAGGTTAGCGCTACGTGTCACCTAGAGTCCACGTGCAGAGCAGCTGACAGCTGCTGATGACTCTTTGTTTCATGATAAAACCCAGCGTGATCATCAGCGATATACGCTGTTTATCGCGCTGGTAGGCTGCCACGGCAGATAAGCACCGTTTCGGGGCGTGGGGCATGGTACGATACTCATGGGATGCAGCGTTGGTGGGGTGGGCACGACCGAAGCTGGGCTGGATGTGTAGGGCAGCGGGCACCAGCTGACGACCGCCCCTCGTGCTCCAGGTCTGGGGCTTCGGCCTGATCTACCTACCGGCGATCGTCACCGTCAACTACTACTTCGAGTCGCGCCGCGCGCTGGCCACCGGCATCGCCGTGTGTGGGTCTGGCGTCGGCACGTTCGTCTTCGCCCCCTTCGCCTCCTACATGCTGGGCCAGTATGGATGGAAGGTGCCAACATGATCCTGGCTGGCATCATCTTCAACGCCGTGGTGCGTTCCATTGGGTGGTTTACGCGATGGGACGGGCCGTGTGCGTTGCGGCCGTGCATTTGAGATTTGCGAAGACCTTGGCGTTGTGTCATGACTCCTTATCACTGCGAGGTCATGGTGGTTTCGAAGGCAGGTCAGCACGCCCATTCCAGGGTGCGTGGGGCGTGGGGCTGCACCTCTCCACTGACACCGCCCGGTCCTGACTCGACCCATGCCGCCAGGTGTGCGGGGCGCTGATGCGTCCCGCTCGTCTACAAGAAGCCCAAGGCGAGCCAGAAGCCGCTGCTTGCAGAAGATGGCCGAGGACAAACAGCGCCAGTTGAGCGTGGTTCCAACGTCTCCGACAGCTTCTTTTTCGTCCAGCTGCCGGACGGCACGCTCGAGCGCCGGCCCAAGTGGAAGATGAACGCCGACCCGGGCGTGCACTCGTCGCTGGCGCTCAACGAGTTCGGCTCGCCGTCGGCGGCGCTGCCGACGATCGCGGAGGCGGCGCGCACGGGCGGCTCCAGCTCACCCGAGGAGGGCGCCGCCGAGCCGCGGCCGTCCCAGCCGCCGCCGCCGCCGCCGCCCGGCTCGCTGGCGCCCGCCGCCGACCGCAACGGCCATTGCCTGCCGGCTGACGCCAAGGACGGCCCGGCGGCCGGCGAGGAGCAGCAAGCCGAGAAAACCGGCTCAGGAGGACCCCGGCGACGGCGGCGACGCGCCCTGCCCGCAAGGATGGCCCCAAAGCCAACGCCAAGGAAGGCGACAACGACTCGGAGAAGGCCAGCGACGAGGAAAAGAACGACGTGGTGCCCGAGCTGCCGGGCGAGGACCTCGAGCTGGGCCGGCGCGGCAGCAAGAAGGAGGTGCGCACCTCGTGCCGTCAAACGACGCAGCAGCGTTGCCCAAGGGCGAGCCGCCCGCCGCCACCAACGGCGCCGCCATGCCCAAGAACGTGTCGACACCGTCGTTTCGGCCAGCAGCAGCGGGCGCGGCTCGGGCGCGGCGCGCGGCCGGCCCTGCGCCTGAGCGCCTCGGGCAACAGCCTGAACCCGGACCTGCGCCGCTTCTCGTTCCACAACCGGCGCGGCACGGGCCCCAGCCAGGAGGACCTCTGTCTGTGCAGCAACACGAGCGTGAGCGCGCCGGCTCGCGCGGGCTCGCTGCCGCGCCCCGGCGAGATGTTGCGCCTATGAGTCGGGCGCGACATCTTCTACAGCGGCAGCATCGCGCACCTGGCGCAGTACACAGAGCCAGCGCAGCCTGGCCTCGTACCGCGCCTCGGTGCTCTCGCTGCCCGGGACGGATACGCCGACCAGCAGCACGACCCCAGTGAGAGACGCAACCGGCAGCGCTCGGCTGGCTGGGCTTCACGCTGTGGAACCGCTGGGGGAGGGGGCATATTCATGTCGGTAAAATTCGGGTCATGGTGGACATATCAGTATCTTCTGTAACGGATTTATCCTGGGTGTTCCGTTTTTGTATTGCTTGCGTTGAATTCACTAGTCACAACTATTTTTGCCTCCCCACAACCCCCCTCCCTCTCTGAAAAGGATTCCCTGTCTCTGCTTTGGAGTGTCACTACTGCTATCGGATTACCATTCTATTGTTACCCTGTTATGTAATGCATGGATCCAGCCATTCCCAGCAAAGGAAGGCTGGATTTTCGTGCTAATCCGGCTTACAATAGTAAAGCCCATAAGTGTAAAGACTATACATGTATCACGATCTGTCTTTGTTCTGAACTGTGGCCCCTATCACCACTCAATCAGTGTGGTCCGCTATGTCGTGGCGGCGGCCGTTCTCCGGCCGGACCCCGTTCCTACCACGCGTCGGTGTGGCCGCCCCGGCAGACTCCCTGGGCGTTGCGTGCTGCCGGCCGGCTGCGGCGGTGCTGGCCGAGATGACGACATGAGCCCTCCTGCGCAACCCGCTCTTCATCCTCATCTGCGCCAGCAACGTCTTCGGCATGCTGGGCTTCTACGTGCCGTTCGTGTACATCGTGGACTCGGCCATGATGAAGGTGCGGGCGACGGGCCGGGCGGCGGCCGTCGCCAGTCGCGCGGCCGGCCGGTCTGTGGGCACCGGCGGTGCGCTCGGACGGACGACCCTGACGCCGGCCCTGAGAGTGGCGGGCTCAGCCAGCCGCGTCATGCCGGCGCTGTGTGTAGCTGGCGGTCCGGGTGATTGCCCGGTCCAGACCCGCCACCGGGGCAGGACCCCGTGTCGCCGGTGCCGTCCGTCCCACCTCCCGACGGGATCTCGTGCCGCCGATGTCGTCCGTCCCACCTCCCGACGGGATCTCGTGCCACCGGTACCGTCCGTCCCACCTCCCTCCCGACGGAGGCCCGTGCCACCGGTGCCGTCCGTCCCACCTCCTGACGGGATCTCGTGCCGCCGGTGTCGTCCGTCTCACCTCCCGGGGTCCCGTGCCACCGGTACCGTCCGTCCCACCTCCCGACGGGATCTCGTGCCACCGGTACCGTCCGTCCCACCTCCCTCCCGACGGGATCTCGTGCCACCGGTATCGTCCGTCCCACCTCCCTCCCGACGGAGGCCCGTGCCACCGGTGCCGTCCGCCCCCACCTCCCGACGGGATCTCGTGCGGCCGGTACCTTCCGTCCCACCTCCCTCCCGACGGGATCTCATGCCGCCGGTGTCGTCCGTCCCACCTCCCTCCCGACGGGATCTCGTGCCGCCGATGCCGTCCGTCCCACCTCCCTCCCGACGGGATCTCGTGCCGCCGGTGCCGTCCGTTCCACCTCTCGACGGGCCCCATACCGCCGGTGTCGTTTGTCCCCTCTCGTTAGCCTGACTGTGCTGCCGGACAGGGCG